CTTCACAGGATAAATCAGTGCAAAGGGGTCTTATGTCAGGAGGAAAGAGAAAATTTCACATCATCATGCATAAAAGGAGAGGACAGGGAGATCTGACCAGCCAGTCTGAAAAGCAGCAGGGTTTCACACAGCTCTTCCTGGGGACCACTGAGACCCACTCTTCGGTATCCCTGAGTCAGGGCCGACTCCAGGGTATCTCATGGAACAAACCCTACCTGACTCTGTGCCCTCCTCATATCTGCTGAGCTTAGGTAAGCCCACTGTTCCAATCATTGTGTCAATCCACCTTTTTGAAGGATTTTATCATCTTTCACCGATCTTTTCACTTTTGCAAGCATGACGCTCTTTTCCAGGGACTGGCCCCTCCTGATGTAACATGCCCAAAGCATGTGCAACAGTCACAGCATTCCTGCTTCTATGGAGCAGTCCGGCTGCACTTCCTCCAGGACAGATTTGTTTGGTTTTTTGACAGATCAACATGAGGGCATTCAATTGTCTTGTCTCGGACCTAAGCAAGGAACTGATCAGTTGCTGGCCTGGTTCTACCTTTAACAGAAAGTGGCAGGCCATCTAGAACACAAAGCCAGGGTCCACGTGGACAACTTAGTGTGCTGGGCTATTGCTGGGGCTGGGGAAGAGCGAGGGGAATGGGAAGGGATTGAGAGCTGCAGAAGGAAACACCTATCAGGACTTGATCCTGCTATCTGACATCTTCTTAGAAAGAGATCCAACGGGACCCAGAAACAAGCCAGGAAGCATAATGGGCCCGGGCTTATTTAGTCAGGGCAACATTCATAACCTGCAACAGAGGCCCCGACCTACAGAAGCTCATCTGTGAGGTCCTATCCTTAGGCATCATTGGTAGGGAGGATTTTTTTTTATTATTTTTCAATGGGCCATATGGCTGGATCCCATAAACTTCTGTCCAGAATGGCAAAAAAGTTTTGATAAGCTTCATGTGGATGGATGAAAAATAAAGAGAGGGAATCAAAATAAGTGCTTGCAAATAGTAAGTTTCCTCCACATATAATTTGGCGTAAAAAATTAGAACCCTGTTGTAGGTGGAGGTAGTTGGTACTACTTATTCTAAGTAGCAGACCATGACTACGTAACCATTAGCTCCCTATAATGCAGACTCAGAGGATCTCCTCTCCTTCCGCTCCCTGCCAACTGGCCATGTCGAAGCCAGGTCTGCTCTCCTGCTGCTGGGAGACTACAGTGCAAGGAGCCAGCTTTCTCCACCGTGAAATGCTTTTGTCCCAATGCAGCTCGGGCAGAGAGGCAAACAAGATGATCAAGGAAGGCAAACTTCCCACTGCCCACCTGGCAGGAGAGACTGTCATGGCTTGAAGCTACTGCTCTTTGTAAATGAACTGCCAGGAAAATCAGGCCTTCCATCTTTTCCTCATTGTTCTCCTGATTGCTCGTATTCTATTTCCCTAGCTTGTTATTTAATTCAATAAGCAATTCCATAATTATTGATATTTGTGAGCCACTACCTTAATGCTTTACAAATATTAAGTCATTTAAAAGCTCTGAACAATCTTATGAGGTAAATATTATTTCCATATGATAAACAAGGACACCGAGGTCCAGATAAATCAAATAATTTGCCCAATGTCCATCCCTAGTCCTCACTAAATATGTCTACAAAGCCAGCATTATCGGCTGTCGTCCAGGTAGTCATCAGAAACACAAACCTGTCAAGGCTGTTTTCAAATTTGTTTCAAAATGTCAATTTCTCTCATAATTGCTGTTTGTACACAGTTTAAGAGCGTCTTCTATTATGTGAAGCAGAAGCTGCGGAGATGAGTTCTGGCAGGTGGGTGACCTCAGGTAAGTTATGTAACTTGTTTCACTTCCTTAACGTGTAGAATGAGGACAAGAGAATGAAAATTCTACCAACCTCCTGAGTTTGCAGTGGGCAGTAAGTGATATTATAACAGCACTAATAGATGTTTTTCTTCCTGGGTGTTGCTGAATAGACTATCATGTTTAGCAACTGTAGGAACAGTGGATCTGAACCTTGCCCTACCTGCATCAGCCTCACTATCTATGATATACTCAAGCCCACTGTTACTGTGTCAATCCATCTGGTGGAGGGTTTTCGACACACAGAAAGTGTTAAAAATAACTGACTTTTAAAAATCATTTCGTAACTAACTAAGAAATCAACCAATACTTAAGCCATAACCCAACCACACTGCATCAAGCTGATTCCAACTCATAGCAATCTCCATCGGGTTTCCAGGCTATAAATCTTAACAGAAAAGTGCTCAAGCAGCAAACATGGAACTGAATCTTAATTCCTCACTTTCCCTCACTCCAAATATTCTATTCACCCCAAGTTCTGTCATGCCTGCTTACAAAATGCATCCCGAAGCCATCTCTTCTCCCCGTGTCTGCCATCAGCATCCTTGTGTAAGTCTCCAGTTTACCCAGACCGTCTATAATCACTTCCTGTCTTACTGCCTGTTTCACCTCTTCTCCTCCTACAACCACACAGATCCCTTATGTGAACTGGACCATGCACCCTTCTTTCAAAAACCTTCAGCGAAATCTCAGTGCATTCATAATAAAGTCCAAAATCTTAACTAAACTTGATTGTTCCTGCTCACAATGTACCCTTCTCTCCCCACACTCAGCTCCCACCACATCCTCCCACAGTCTAATCCCTTCAGTCAGCTTCTGGATTACACTGACCTTGTTTCTTCCTCAACAGCCATTGCCTCCTCTTTCGGCAAGGCCAGATCTCTCTTACCCTTAAATATCTGGTTAAGGGTCTCCTTCTCAGAGGCTTTCCCTCACACAGCACATTATCTGCTTCTGCTGACAATTCTCTTTACTACTGCACCTTGTTCATCTCCTAAAAAGCAACCTTACATACTGAGCTGCTGATTGTCAGCTCACAGGTGACATTTTAATGAAATTTTCAGTGACCTTTCCCAAGGTCCCGGGCATTTCTATTGGATTTTATTGTATGAGCCACTGCCAAGCTAATGCTGACTTATTGCAATCCAGGCATAGCGGAGTAAAAGCTGTGCTCCAAAGGGCTGGTGTTTCAGACAGAGACGGCCAGGCCTTTCTTCAGAGGTGCCCCTGGGTAGACACAACTCTTAACTCTGCATCACCCAAGGACCCCACAGATTTCATTACACGTGAATAAAACATAATTAGCATGCCACTAGTGTGTAAATTCCAAAGGAAGAGGCATTTCTTTCATCATTGCATGCTGAACTATATTTATCAATTGTTCAAAGAAAGGTTCTTAATTCATATAAATCATATCTTCTCAATGGGGTGAATAACACTCCAAGGGATGAGACTGGTTCTTGGGGGAGGCTAAAAGTCTTAGCTGTTACAAGGAATTTTGGCCTTTCCAAGCTTACATCTAGCTGACAAAATCTCATTTTCTTTCATAAGGGGAAAATCTAATTTATTTTATTTTAATTAATTGAAATAAAATGCGATCTTTCTTCTTACATAATGAATAATGATTAAGTTCATAATACAGGTTTTGAGAAATATCAAAGGAAATCTTTTCACTCAGTCCTCCCTCATTTCTTAAACTCTTGCTCATGCCATTACTCTAAGCTGGGATCATCATTCTCCATCTCAAAGACTCAAATAATTCTTATCTTTTTTAACCTCAGGTAAAATTTACTTCTTTTGTGAACTTGTTTCTTTATTACATCTCCCTGCACTGTCCCTCCATCCTCCCATGCATGATGTGTCTCTCCAAGGACTGATCCTGCCTTGCAACATGTCCAAAGTATGTCAGATGGAGCTGCAGAATCCTTGCCTCCAAGGAGCATCCTGATCTCACCCTCTCTAGGACGAACTTGTTTGTTTTCCTAGCAGTCCATGGCATATTCAATACTCTTCTCCAGCACCACAGCTCAAAGGCATCAATGCTCCTTCTATTATTCCAATTCATTGTCTATCTTTCTGATGCATAGCAAGTAATTGCAAAGACAAAGACCATGGTTTGTATCAGGGGCACCTCAGTTTCCAGACTGATACTGTTGCTCTTTAATACTTTGGAGAGGTCTCTGACAGCCGACTTTCCCCAATGTAATAAGGTTTTTAATTTCCTGGCTGCTGGTACCAAGAGTGTTGATTGTAGAGCTAAGTAAATTTAAGCTGTTAACAATCTCAATCTCTTCATCATTATCATGATGCTGCTAATTGGTTCAATGGTGAAAATCTTTGTTTTCTTGATGCTGAGCTTTAATTCATAATGAAGGCTGCCATCCTTGACCTTCTGCAGCAAGTGCTTCAGGTCCTCCTCAGTTTCATCAAGCACGGTTGTGTCATCTGCTATGTCCTTCCCTCATGCTAACATAGAAACAAGTACACAAACAGGATGCTAATTATTTTCTCCAGTAGTAATTCTCACTAATTAGGTTTCCCATCAGAGGGTCAGTTCCAACTCAATGGTACACAACAGGTTTTAGTTAAGCAGTGTTTACCTGAAGCATTAATGCTTAAAAGAAAAAAGAAATAGTAAACTAAGTCAGGCCAAGCAATAACAGAGAAAGAGATGAACAAAAATTAGCAGGAAGCTCAAATATTTTTTCTGAAAGTGAACATCATCTGATGACTCTGGGACCTTTTCAGTGGTCAGCATCGCAGAGTGTGCAATTCGTATACACAAGCATAATCAGAAAGACCACCTGAAATCAAATGCTAATAGAGAATTATTTTCTGTAAATTGACGAAAGTACAGTGAGGAATCCAGGACATCAATGGGTAATAAAGACAAAAGGAAATAAACTGTAGACAATTTACATTTTCAATACTTATAATAATGTATCAACTCTGTGGAATAGCTCTTAAGTCTATTTTTTTTGTTGTTCATTTCTTCACATACTTAATTAGACGAAAAGAAATCAGATTCATTTCTACATTTCTGTGGAACAAAATAACATGTAGCTATGGAATTGTGGATTGTTTTGAAATTTTTCAGCTGTTTCTTTTTGCAGTAAAAATCACTGTACTTACCTCTGATCGGTTTTCGAAGAGGCAGGAAACAGGTCTTCTTCCTCTTCTGACTCATCCACCTCAATTGTCTAACGGGGAAAAACAAAGCAGCAGACAGTTTTTGAGGAAATGAAAAAAAAATCCTCAATTAAAAGGATTAATAATTAGAACTTAGATCATTCTAAAAATAAGTATATGCAAAAAAAGGCAGAGAGAAGCCATGAAATAGGAACTGCTCCGACCAAAGCCCTGCCCACCCTCCTGCCACCTTCATGCACAGCTGGTCTACGCGAGTCTTGGGGTGCATCTCTCCTGGCCATCAAAGACGTTTGTGTGTCTAAAATAACATCCAGTGTGACTGGTCAACTGTGTCCACAGGCGCATGTGCAGATCATACTCTATGGGTCTCTTCTTGGATCCTGACCAAGTCAGATTATCTATGTTTAGTCTCTAATTTAAAATAAGGTCTAAGACCATGCTGGAAGTATTGCATATTTGTACTTTTTTTGGTTCCTGTTAAAATACCAATTTTTAAGAATTGAGTCACAATCAATTCATTTTTAACTATTCCTCAACACTTTGTCCTGATACTTGAGAAACACACTGGCTATTTTGACATCTGAAGGTTGATAAAAAGTACAGATGAAGATGAGTATCAAGGAAAGAATACTGAAAAAGAACACCCAAATCCTCCCCTCCAGACCAACACAGAACCACTATTTAAGTAATTAAGAATAAATAAAGGCTTATGAAAGAAAAACCTAAAAGAGAATCTGCTTTGTGGACATAATTGAATTGAGAGATGTTAATCCTGAAGCAACAGCTGGACAATAGTTCATGACAGATAATTAATGGCACTAAGGATAAAAGTCAGCACTACTGGCGAGCTCTGGTGGCCTAGTGCCAAGAAGATGCACTGCAATCCTAGAGGTACACAGTTCGAATCCACTAGATGATCTGCTGGAGAAGGAGGGATAATCTCCTCCTGTACCTGTCAGATCCGATTTGATGGTGTACACACACACACACACACACACACACACACACACACACTAGAAGTTTAAAAAAAAAAAGTCAACTTAAAGTGTATCAGAGAAGGTAATAAAACCAAAATTGGAATAAGGACAGAGATGATTTCAACATATCTGTTGACTGTCAGCCACTAATTGTGTCAAATGCTTAAGAAATCTATTAAGAGTGAAATATGACAAGACTACTTGCAGAAGCAAGATACAATGCCATGGTTCCCATCCCTGGGCATCATCTTATAGCCCCCTGCCTGCTCTGAGGACATCTGGCAAGATGTGGACTTATTCTGGATTGTCGTGCTGAGGGGATGGATGGGTTGCTAGAAGAATCTAGCAGGTAAGGGCCAAATATATTGTTCAATGTTCCACAGTGCACTCAACTCTTCTCACAATGAAAAAACATCCTACCAAAAAGCTAATGGTGCCACCACTGGGAAACTCCAAGACTACTGGGAAACTCTAAGACTGGAGGGGACTGGCCTGGAAGTTAAAATCCATGGATTTTGAGAACGAGGTAATGTAAGAACCAAGCCCATATTTAATTAATCTTAGAATTCAAAAGAAGAGCAAAAGGCTCTTAAATTTAGGTTCAAGCTTATGTCTATAATTAGGAATCCGGAGGTCTTTGGGTTCTAACCTTTGAGTTTGTTCCTACCTAGTATAAACAAACTAGGTACAAACCACAGTATTATGAGAGTATAAATGGCAAAAAGGAAGCTAGGTATCAATTAAAGGTGAGTTCAATATGCACCGAACTCACCTTCATGTACAGCTTTTCTTGGTTCAAAACTGTTAGCCATATAAATATTCAGGATAATTATGGATTTCCAATTAAATAACTCATTATTTTGAAAAAGAAAATATAAAGACACAAATCCTAGACACCCACCCTCAGGTCTACATGATTGGCAAGCTTCTCTCAGCTTTCATATCTTTTGATTATCCTCAATTATTTCAATAAGAAGGATACAAACGTAATATTAAAACAGCACAGGACACTCTTTCTCCCCTTGTCTCCATATAATTCTTTTTGTTACCTCTGTATAATTCTTAGTAGCAACATTTCGTGAAGGATGTTCTCTTGTAGACTTAAAGGCTAGAATGAGAAAGATGAAACAATACTGGGTTATTTGTAAAATAGCATAAAAACGTGCATGTTTCTTTAGCTGAAGATGCTTTAAATCTTCTTTGCAGACACTGTGGAGAATAAATGTTATAACCACTTGCATTTTTTAGAAAATCTGGAGGGAGGAAAAATTATTTGTTCAAATAACTCAATACCAAGCTCTTATGATTTCCCAGCTTACTGGAATACAGCAACAAGCAGAGAGTTCATTAAATATGCCCCACACTAAAAGTATCCTGCAGGAAAATATGTGAAGGATAAAATCTGATCATCTAATGCTTGAATTCCAAATATACCAGTAAGCCTTAGGAAGTCTGCACAGAAAGAACTAGTCCTTATGTCTTCTGACTTTGTAATCTGCAGGCTCTTCCTTTGCACGTGGCTGGATGAGGAGCCATGCGGTTCCAGCAGGAATTTCCTTCTCTCCTCTATCCTGTGAGTCACAGTCAGTATCAGATACCGCAGGAGAATTTCAGAAAACAGAATACTTTTATTTCATTGTAAAATTTTCCTTGGAATGTGTAAATTCTTTAACTTTATAAACTTCAAGTTCACATAGCTCTTTATATTTCCCCTTGGGGGAAAGCTTTGAATAAATCTCAAAAAGTTATTTTGCCTTCACCAGTTTACTAATGTAATAAAACCCATGAAAGTTGAACCTTTGTAACATGGAAGACCATTACAGTATGAGAACTGAAATATTTTCCACTAAAATGAGTGACAGAAAAGTATTAAGACTGACACTGTCAAGGATGGAAAATGTGCAAGATCTGAGGGGGGAAAAACACAGTACCACTGCAGATTTCATTATTTATAAAAATGTGTCCCCCAAGACAACACCCATAACAAACAGTGCGAGGAGACTTGGAGAAGAAAGTATTTTTAAAAATATTCTATAAAGTAAAAGATCTTCCTACTCAGAAAACTTTGAGAAGATTTCTACCTCCGTCCAGTCATGTGACATCCACATAAGCCGGGAAAGGCTGGAGCAGAGAGCTGCAGCCCTACTAACATCCTCACATTCTATTCAATGCAATAGGCCAATGGGGCAACTGAATAAAAAACAAGTGCTCATGGTCTTCCAAGGAATTTATTCACAAAACAACTCTTCACACTCTGAGATTCATGGAGAGAAGAGCACTCTTTTATTTCTGGTGGGGAGCAAAAGATGAGTAAGAGTTTAAAACTTCACCAGAAAAATAAGTGTTACATTTTGTGAAGAAGGAAACAAATGGTGGTTATGAGTTCAGGTATTAAGTGAAACTCATGTACCAGCTGGTAACTACTAATTAAACACTAAAATTTTTTTCAATTAGAGTATGACAAATTCAGACAATTTCTAGTTATATGTTCACAAATGTATTGAAAGTATTATATTATACATTCATGGACTTATTTAAGATTTATAACTGCTCTGCGTCACTGATTCTCTGGCTAAAGCTTGGAAAACAGCATCAGTTAACACACACTAAGGGTTTATATGTACTGACACTTGCCAGGTACTTCACACGCAATTTCTTATTAATTATCAAAATAACCCAAGGAGGTAATATAATCATTTGTCCCATGTTACAGACAAGGACATCAAAATTTAGAGACAGAAAGTGTAAGTGGTTGTAGGATGCATGGTTATTCAACTCAGGTGCCCGGACGCAAGCTTTGGAACCACACCATCCGGTCTACACAGGGATCTCTGGAGGCAGAGGTGGTAGGGAGGAGCGCTGCCAACACAAAGGCCAGGCCTCTCTGATACCTGAATCTACCAGCTACTACATGAGACAAAGATGAACCATCTCCTCTTGTACAGTTTACAGCCCCAAAAAGTTGTTGGAGGATCAGTGTGAGTTAGGTCTGACTGGATGATACTGAGTTACAATCTGTAAGTGACTGCTATTTAGTCAGCCTTAAGCACCCACTCTATGCCAGGCTGTACAATGACTAACAAGACTGATGCAGATTCTGCTCTCTGTGTCTGCAGTATAAGAGCACTGAAGAGCTTACCACATAGTCAAACTTGTGTACTAAACCAGGTCTGACTCTAAAGGCCCAGTCTGAAACATAAATCTTAAAAATACTGATTTGGCTGACATCCCCCCCCCCATCACCACCAAATCATGTTTGACTCCTGGTAGATGATACCTTTGACCTGTGCCAGACAATTCTTGCTCCACAGGGTCATGGGAGGCCGACTTCCAAAGCAAATAACCTTCTTCAGTTGGTTCACTTACACAGTTTTGGCTGGGTTTTTTTCATGGATGAATTTTTATTATTAACAAAAATGATCAGTCATGCAAGCTTGTGAAATTTTTAAAATACTGTATGGATTTCACCTGATGGTATGCACAGGAATCAGATCGATTACATCTGCAGAAAAAACTGCTGGAGAAGCTCAATATCAGCTGTGAAAACTAGGCCAGGAGGTGATTGTGGAACAGACCACCAACTACTCCTATGCAAGTTCAAGCTGAAGCTGAGGAAAATGAAACCGAACCCACAGGAGCCAAAATATGACTTTGATTTCATCCCACCTGAATTTCAGAATCAACTCAGGAACAGGTTTGAGGCCTTGAACACCAATGAGCAAAGACCAGATGAGTTGTGGGAGGATGTCAAATGTATCATCCAGTAAGAGTGCAAACGGTCATTACAAACACAGAAGAGGAAGAAAAGACCAAAATGAATGTCAGAAGAAACTCTGAAGATTGCACTGGAGCATAGAGAAGCCAAAGCACAAGGAAGAATTCAAGATACTAAAGAGCTGAACAGAAGA